TCTGGCAGAGACCACTGACTCCTGCTTGTTTCACATCTGCTGGTCTTCTGATTGAACTGGACCAATGAAGAATAAAACAAACCTGCCTGTAGGAGGCCTTGCCTGGCTGGCTGTAGTTTTTGAACAGATAGGGTATTTTGGCTGTGTTGAGACTATGAATGCCTTTTTCTTAGAAGGAAAACAACAAGTAAAAAGTTTAACTATCGATTTCTGAGGATTAAAAGAGTGTACATGAACATTAAAATTGCATAAGCAAAGCCTTCAGTGGGAGGGCAACCAGAAAACTTCAGTGAATGGAAGGACTACATACTTCGCCTTTACCCTCTCCCCATGAGGGCTTTGTGACATGAGCTTATGCAGATTCCCAAGTGTTGGTGTATTCACTACACATTATAGAATCATAGAATGGTATATCCATAAATGATTTATTTTGGCTTACCGCTGTGGTGCAGCCATAGGAGCTGTCACGTATTTGGGAGGAAAAGGTACTTTGCTGTCTTTGTGATGAAGTCCGTATGAGTGGAGGTAGGGCTTAGGTCCAGAGCAGGCATGTTTCGCTGCATGTATTTGTTGTTTGGCAGATGCTCTAGTCATCTGGAGACAGTGTTAGGTTTTTGGAGAGCCACACTCTGGATGAACTGCTGTTTGGTCCTTTCTCAGAAGCCATCTTTCTGAGTCAAGTTTTATGCAGGCAAGCTGCCTTTTGGCATCAGTCCCCTAGAGCCCACCATAGCGTTGGGAGTCACTTTGCAAGGGTGCAGAGAAGGAGCAATGGTGATTTCTTTTCCTTTCCCCAGTGACTCTGTGTCCCCTTCCCTGGCTCCTCTTTGCCTGTGACTGTCACAGTGATGGCACCAGAGTTACTGCTGCTTATGCTTTCTCATATATCTTCCTTCAAGATTCTTGATTATAGGTACTTAAATATAATTACTGTGGATTTTATAGCACTCTGGGACAAGATAAAGGAAAATGAAAAACAGTGAGGCAAATGGGTTTTCCTCTTCTGTTCAGGGAAGACTTTAAGGTATTTTTTTAAGGATAATTTATGAAAACCCTGATCAGATTATGCAACTGTTCCTTTCTATCTCAGCATCATCCTCATGAGAGTATTACCAGCATAGCTTGCCAATAAATTTCTGAAGATCTCTTAATAGTATTAGTCTCTCTGCATCCAGGGAAATGTTTTCTGAAGTCAGTCAGTTCCTGGTTTTCCTTATGGAACTTCTGTTATTAATTTCAGGTGGCTTCTCTGAATTATCTAAATTATAGCATACTCTCACACTATTCTGCTAAACATCTCTGGCTACTTTCAGCTTGCTATTACTACTTTTTCATAGTTTTCAGCTTTAATAAGTTCAGCTGGAAATCACCTGACTGAACTGCCGTTTGCTTGCTGAAAATTTTACCATGTAAGATTTAAAATGGTGTCCTGGGTTCAGCAGTAGCAGTCATTTTTTCACCTTCTTGGTAGCTGGTGCAGTGCTGTGTTTTTGACTTTCAGCCTGGGAATGGTGGTGATAGCACCGATGTTTTTAGTTACTGCTCAAATGTTTGGTTTGGCCACGGACTTTGTGAGCCTCATGCTCTGCCAGGGAGGTGGGAAAGCCAGGAGGAAGCAGAGACAGGATACCTGACCCAAGCTAGCCAAAGGGGTATTCCATACCACAGCACGTCATGCCCAGGATGTAACTGAGAGTTACCTGGAAGGACTAGGGGACTGCGGGGCTGGACGAGGTATCGGTTGGTGCTTGGTCGGGCTGGGGGGGGGGGTCAAGTTATCGGTCAGTGGGTGGTGAGGTGTTGTATTCTCTTCCTTTGTTATTTCCCTTATCATTGTTATTACTGGTGGTAGCAGTAGTGGTTTGTGTTATACCTTAGTTACTGAACTGTTCTTATCTCAACCCGTGGGAGTTGCATTCTTTTCGGTTCTCCTCTCTGTCCCTCTGGGAGTGGGGGGAGGGAAAGAAGGGGGGGAGTGAGAGAACGAGCTGCCTGACTGGTTTTAAACCATGACAAATGGCAATTTATATTATTGAAAAAAAAAGAAAAGGGAAGAGAAAAAAAAAATCACATACTCTTATCAACAGAGTCCTGACAATTTGCATGGAAGAAGAGGGAACGCATGGAGGGCTCCATGTGAATTTGCTATGACCTTTATGAGGACACTGAGTTGCACTCAACACTGGCTGAGATGAAAGGGAAACTCCCACTCGCTTAGCATGGACTGAATTGGGATCCTTTGGCACGTAACCCTTTCCTATATATGAAACACCAGAGAGAAAGGTGAGGGGGAAGATCTCAGCTGTATTGTGATCTTAAACCTCTTAGTTAAGATGGTTCGAGTGTGTTCTCGAGGAAATATTTATAAGTTATAAAAAGCAAATTTGATCATTTTTTTTGTGATTACCAGCCTCCTCAAATAATTTGCTCTGCAGTTGTCTCTGATTACCACCAAGTCAACTTATTTTTTTATTTATTTTAATGGGAAGCACCATTAATAATTAAGAAAAATGTGTTTCATTCCAAGAGAAGTCTTTTAGTGGGAGTTTAAGATAATTATTCAATGGTGCCTAAAAATACACCTACACCACATTAATCCTCGATCCTGTTTTTTGAGGTGATTAAACTCTTTCTGATGTGCATCCAGAAATAATCTCTGGAAACAGCCAAGAGACTCCAGGTGGCCAGCTGCTCCTCTGGCCTGAGCAAGTCACGACACATAGGAAGTGGCTTTGGCCAGGGAGAAACTGCTGTTCTGAAAAAGGAGTTACTGACATTATTATTAGATCAGCTGGGGCTGATCTAAACTCTGTATGCCTGCCTCCAGAGCAATCATCCTTACCATTGCCTAGTGATGACCCGTATTGACCATCTTGAAACAAAAGTGCCAGTGCACTGGAGGATATCAGCAGGGTGAAAAAGCTCTGCTTATGACAATCATGAAGGACAGTGATGTCTGCACAAATGAAAGTTTGGGTTGGCTGCGCTTCTGATGAGGAAATGAAAGAATGATCACAGCAGCCCAATAGGATGGTGGCTTCCCTTAGGAGTAAGGACTAGTTAAGGACTCTTCTTCCTGGTTGCTACAGGGGCCTGAAACTTCATTATCTTACAGGAAAACCAAATGGAGTTACCCTGCTCATGAAATAAAAAGAAGAGCAGTGAGAAGAAAAACCAGAAAAGGTAAGGCTGAGGTAGCTGGCACTGGAACTAAGATAAGTGACCTCTGCTTTGATGTTACAAGATACGACTGTGGCCAGGTGAACAAAAAAAAAAAAAGGTTATTCCTGCTTGTAACCCACACCTAGGTACAGGGCTGGTGTACAGTGCTACTTGAGTTGTTTTGGATGCCCAGTCCCAAGGAGGTTGCTGCTTGTGTTTGTCAGGAATGTGCCCTGAGCACAAAGGCAGCATATGAAGCAACAGTCCAGTTGTACTGAAAGCTGCTCATGTCCCAGAGGGGAAAACTGGTATCACACCAGAGGCTGCTGTAGGCTCTCACTGGAGCATCTTGAAGACCATGAAGGCCGTGAGTCCTGGTACAATGCTTACACAGTCCTTGCTGGGTGACAATCCTACAGTACACCTCCCATGGATGAAAAGAGAAAGCCTGTAATCAGTAATGTTAGATGCTGACAAAAGAACCAGAGAAACCAAAGGGAAACCTAACTCTTCTGCTTTTAATACATTATTTAGGAACCTTGAGATGTGTTGTCTCAGCCTGTGACGACTACTGAAAGCCTTGCTGAATTTTTCCACAGAACTGAATTAAATGAACTTGAATTTGCAGTGATATTGCAGCTTACTCCTCTATTGATGTGTCAATGTTACATGACTGTTTTTTAAAGGGTTCACAAATTTCTGGTACGCCAACGCAGAGCTGCAGAGAGTCCTGTTGTTTGCATGTCATGGCTAATGGGAGAGGCACCGAAAGCAACACCATCCACCCGGTGTGACACATGCCCCTGGAATGGCTCTGGGGCTTGCAGCATCGACCTTGCAGGGCTTTTGCAGCCAAAGCACATTCTCCCCTAAGAGACCAATTTGCTAGGTGGGATTGAAATAATTGTTTCAGGAATTTTATATACAATGGAAGGCTGCCTCATTTAATAGTCTTCTGTAATTAGGCTTCTGCCAAAATTGTCCAGATTTTCAGTCCAATGTGCAAGTAAAAACATGAGCAATGAAATATAAAAATTAACACTTGCAATGACATTTTTCAGGACAGAGTTAAAATTCATGTGGACTTGATCAGCTCCAAAGACAATAGCTAAGTTGTTGCCTGTGGGTATACAGAGCTCTGTTTTGTCAGTCAAGGGCAGAAGGGTTATATTTACCTTTTTAATGAATAATGTTCTTGTACTTGCTTTCTAATGTAGAATGTATATTGAAATTTCTTTCTGTCCCAGACCAATGTTGCTGTGTTGCACATCATTATATCAGCTTTCTGTCACAGTGAAACCCTGTCTATAGCCCTGAAGCTCTCTTGTGGCTATGGGATCATGGTAGTAATGCCAATGAAGTTATCGTCTGTGTCCGGAATGGAACAAGTCATGTTCCTTGCCTGCTTCCTTATGAGGCTACTTCTCATTTGGTGCAGCAGTGGAATCATGTCAGATGGAGCCAACATTTTTTTTTCATTAGGTAATTGATTATTTCAAAGAAATGTGTCCCTGGACTTTGTTCAGTGCAAACCTATAAGATAACTGATTTTTAGTATTAGGAAAAAATAGGTTAATGTGTAGGTCAACAAGTAAGTCTTCCTTTGCGTCTCATTCCTCCCACACCTCTGAACATGCTTTTGGAAATATGTTGTTGTGTTTTCTTTGTTGTTTCACATCTGTGCTTTGCCCTATGATGTGCTGCTTATGAACTGCCTTTGGATGTGGACGTGGTCAGAAGCCTGCTTTATTCTGTGTCTAAAGCAATGACCTGGCTTTCTCATTTGAGAATCTGCATTGATTCCCTAGCACGAGTTTATCACAGTTGAGTTAATAAGCACATTAATCAGACAATTTGTGCAAGTTGATGTGATACTGGTCTATCATTCCACATACATTCCTGTGGGAAGTTACCTTCCTTAGAGGAAAGGGGAAAAGAAAGAAGAAGGAAAGGAGAAAAAGGAACATCTTGGGTTTTCCAAGGTCCTGTCTGATGCACTGGTGATGGGCCACGTCAGGCAAAAGCTGTTCAGATCAACACCAGTCTCTGACAGTGGCCAGCAATGGTAAGAGCATAAGAAGAGGGCAGACATATACTGATACTTACCCTAACTCTCCAGCTCCAGCAGTCTGTAGCTGAGGGACTGTCTGAGCCAAAGATGTCACACTTTATATTAAAAAACCCTTGATGCATTTTTCTTCTGCACTTATTCAGTCACTTCTGAACCTTGCCATATTTCTAATTTCCATACTTTGCTGGTGGCAATGAGTGCTCAAACAGGACCACATGAGCAGTTTTCTCTGTTATAAAGAATAGGGTGATTTCTCTCATCTTCTTCTCTAATCTGCAGATATTTTGTGTTTTTCTCCCTGTGATCGAAATAATTTGTGGTTGTTAAAATCTCTTCTTATTCCTGCTTTTCCCTCTTCAGTGTACTGCTCTCAGGCTCAGAAATCTGCTCTGTTGTCAGGGGTTTTGCTTTTTCTCCCCCAACTTTTCTTTCTCTGATTCCTTGCCTGAGGCAGATTCACTGTGGATGCCATGTTCAGGCATAGCAAGAGGGAGAAGAAAGGCAGCAGTTAAAGAGGTCATTTTCCCCTCCATCTATTCTGTGTGCTTTCACCAAGCACAACCTGCAAGATCTTCCTTTTTCCCCCTCTCTGCCACACATGTGTATGGCAGATCCTTCTTGTGGAAAACATTTTCCTGTAGCACATGGTCAGGGACATCTCTGCCCTCACTTGGTTTTCAGGGCTTTCATGGGCCAGGGCAAAGTCAGGCCTGGGCCCAGAGAGCAGAGCTTTACAGAGGGATGCATGGAGGGCCTGGAGGCTCTGCTGTTAGAGTCTAAGTGAGACTGTTTTATGTGCAGAAGGTGGAAATGTGGAAAAAGACATTATTTACCCTTTGTCTTTTCTGTTTTTCTAACTAACGTCATCAAATGTAGTTGTCATGGTCTGTCTTCCACATATACAGCTTCCATGACATACAAGTATTTTATTTCTGGTGGGCTGCTGTCTCCCAAACCCTGCAGACACTGAGCTCATCACTGCCCTCAGCCTATACACCTCCCTCCAACTCAGCCCTGACCCTATGAGAAGAATAAAGCCCTCCTTTTCTGACAAGTATCTTCAGTCAAGTCCCTGAAATGAGACATCCCACTGCTCCACATCTTTTCTTCTCCTACCTGAAACACACACAGTGCTCAGGGCTGCCTGCATCTACTTCTTCCAGAGTCTGGAGAGGGAAGAGGGTAGAGCATCACTTAGGAAAACACCTGGAAGAGTCCCTTGGAAATTTGATTTCTTGTCTATCACTGGAAGAAGCCAGAAAGCTGCAGAGATATGATGTCTGGCAGCTGCAGATAGCATGCACAGAAGCAATGTGATTTGCCTGATTGCAGTAGCTGCCTCTTCACCCTGCACTTACAACTCTGTACCTCTTCCTGCACCATATCTGTCCCATAGCTGAGCCAGGCAGTGAGGGCTGACACCCTTCCCTCCCACAGGGTGCAATGCTCCATGGGGCTATGCATTTCTTGCAAGCCTCTGGTTGTCCTCAGCCATCACCGATTCCTGTTGCAGAGAAGAAAAACACCAAAAAGCTCAAATGTATAAAGTAAAAGATATTTCCCACCTTTAAATATATTGGCCTGCTTATAAAGCTAACAGCAGTCATTACATATACATAAAAAAGCACCATATGTTTAAAATACTTCATATTTATGTTAGCACAGTGGAGGAGCAGTCTCTGCCCTCCCATTATGAGGTGGGTGAGAAGACGGCAGTGGCGGCTGCCGCCCAGCAGCGAGACCAGCAGGTCCTTCTCAGCTCTAAATCGTCTGGGCACAAGCGGTCACATCTGTGTTGCTTGCTCACTGAAACTGTCTAGCTCTACATGAACATCAGAACCTCTCTGCTTTTCAAGTGACTAATGGTTCCCTAATGCTCGTGGCTGAGAGCAGCCCCACACAAAAGCCTGAGGATACAAGTAAAAAAGGAACACGGGAGGCTGGCAGCACACTGGCAGCTACTGGGCAGGCAGCTGACAGACAGTGCTGATGTATGGTCCTGCTGCCCACTGCATGCATTTAGTGAATTATTGCATGAATGATCGCAGCTATCCTAGAAGTCAGCAGATTTTGCAGGGTGCTTTAGTGCTTGGAAGCTCACAGGCTTCCTTCCTCACCATGGCTTCTGGTGGTGAGTGAGAAGGGAGGTGGGAAGGGGTTGTGTTACCAGTGTCAACACAGTGCATCCCCTTGGGGGCCATTCGGCTGCATGTGGGGAGCACCCCAGGTAAGGAGGGGAATCATGTGTGTTTGGGTACAAGCCTAAAGTCAGAGGCTATAGAATATTTTGGCTTTTCTCCTCCCTCCACATTTACAACCGGTTACCTCTGTGTAAGAGCATGTTTTCACTGGGAAGTGAAAAAGACACCTGGTGCTGAATGAGCTGAATGCACATACACGAAAAAGTGACATACTGGTGCTAAAGCAATGCCAAAAGTTGACAGCATGGCTCATTGCTTTGCAGAGGAGGACCCAAGCAAGAGCCTGCACAGCTCTATGCAGCTGTTCAGGTATAGTCGATAGATTCTTATGCGAGATCATTACCAGCATGTAGCAGTCTTTCCCTCTCTCTATTTCTCTATCAAATGCAAAATAATTTTGTTTTATTAAGCCAAAACTTGGGAATCGAGAGGTTTCGTTTTTTCTGTTCTTTGTACCTGATTACTGGGAAATGTGCTGTGCACATCTTACAGGCAGTTTGATGTAGTGCAAATGCAAATCTTTATTGTGAAGGCAAGCAACAAGTCAGCTTTTGATCAGCTATGGGATCAACTCCTACTTGATGCTTATGATGTTGAGGTGTTCTGATAACTTGGGCTGATTCCTGTAAATCATTTTTCAAGCTCTCTTTCCTACTTGATGATCAAAGATAAGAGAGTGCATAATTCATGGCCTTTCATATTCATGTTTGTATTTTTGGTTTATAGTAGGCGAATGCATTTGCCATTTTAATGAAATACATGCCCGCCCACTACTCGGTTACTGGAATGAGGACTAACCTGATAAATACATGTACTAATCACAACTTATCTTCAGGAAGGAGGTTCTTTCTGAGATGATAGTCTCCCTGCTGTCAGTTCTGCAGGGTTTTTGTCTTCTGCACATTTTGGCTATTGGATATCTCTTCCTTCAGGTACAGTTCCTCCCCTACTGCTAATGCTGTTGTGTCTATAGGTTAAAAGCAGGAGTATGCTTTGAAACTGAGCAACGCATGAGGCTGCTTTTAAAGGCTTGTGTGAGCCATAAGGCTGTTTTCAAAGGCTCTGCTCTGGAGTGATTTTTAGGTATTCTTTAAAATTTTATTTCTTTTTCTTTTTTCTTTTTTTTTTGGTTATAAGTAAGTGTCATAACCCTTGTAACAGCTGTTTTGGCTACCATAGTCTGTACTTCAGTAATGACACGATAAAACTAGACATGACCTGGCAGTGTGTGCTCACAGCCCAGAATGTTAACCGTGTCCTGGGCTACATCAAAAGGAACATGACCAACACATAGAGGGAGCTGGTTCTGTCCCTCTACTATGCTCTAGTGAGACCATACCTGCAGTACTGTATCCAGCTCTGGAGTCAGCACAGGAAAGACATGGACCTGTTGGAGAGGGTCCAGAGGAGGGACACAAAAATGATCAGAGTGCTGGAGCACCTTTCTTATAAGGACAGGCTGGGAGAGCTGGAGGTGTTCAGCTTGGAGAAGAGGCTCTGAGGAGACCTTAGAGCAGACTTTCTATACTTAATGGAGGCTTACAAGAATGATGGGGAAAGACTGCTGAAAAAGCGGGGCCTGTTGTGATAGGACAAGGGGTAATGTTTTTAAACTAAAGGAGGATAGATTCAGACTAGATAAAAGGAATTCTTACAATGAGGGTGGTGAGACACTTTCACAGGTTGCCCAGAGGACTGTAGGTGCTCTATCCCCGGAAACAGTCAAGGTCAGGCTGGATGGGGCTTTGAGAAACCTGACCTAGTTGGTCATCTCCCTGCCCATTGCATGGACTAGATAACACTCAAAGGTCCCTTCTATCAGAAACCATTCTGTGATTATACGGTTGTATGATATGTCCATGATGTACAGACTCACTGCAAATGAACTGGGGTTTGCAGTCAAAACACACATGGGGTAGTGTACCCTTTGGGGTACTTTGAGAGGTTTAGTCAGTCACCGCAGGGAGGTGAGGGTGCATGGCATTTTTGGCACATGAGTGTGGCTGGGGAATGTTCAAGCTCGCACTGGCCAGCAAGTCTGCAGAAGTGAAATTTGGGGCTGTAGTAATTACTGAAGTGTTTCTGAATGGACAGCCCTGGTCCTTGGGCAACTGAAAGGGGCTGGCCTCAAGCTCAGGTGGCTCCACAGAAGATGATCACAGGGCACTTTTGGAACCTGTTCTTGGCTTTTTTCAACCTGGTTTTGGTTAGTCATATATACATTTGATATAGGTTGTGACTTTTGTATGAAGCATAATCCTCAGCAGTCTTGTAAGTGTCCTGTATATTATGCCATGTTCAAGACAAGCTCGTCTAAAGGTTGGCAAATATTGTATTATGTCATTCATTTCTGTGCTGGAGAATGTGAAGTTTAGCTGAATTACTCTGGAAAACATGACAGTAATAACGAACAATCATCACACAGAGCTTTCCTGTGTTCAAACGAATCAGTTGCCAATTTCTGCCAGACTCCGCAAGGAGTGTTACCAATTATCAGCAGCTCCTTGCAGGTCTGTCTCCAGCATCTTCAACAAATGCAGAAATTCCTAAACACATGGTCTGTTTTCTGAGTTCATGGAGGTCCGTACAAGTACGTGTCTTCCTGTCTGGTGTTGTTTGTCTGTTTGTTTGTTTGCTGTTTGGTTTTGTTTTGGGGGAAAGGGGCATGCATAGCAATCCCCTTATGAATCTTTTCCAGCTATTGCTTTCTTCAGAACTAAAAGTTTCTGCACTGCAGCCCATTAATCAATTTTAGCAGTGCTAATTATCCACATGGAACTGTTTTTCCATCCCAAAATTCGCAAGCATTGCAGGGATCTTGTTGTCCTTGTGCAGGCTGGCCTGATGACACATTTTCTTAGAAGTTTCACTTGTCTTGTAATTTTCTCTTTCTCTTGTGATGTTTGCTGGCTTTCTTTTTTTGCAGACACTAACAACTGTTAGAATATCATGTGTCCGTGTTTTAAAGTCTCCCCTCTTTTTACATTGCATGAGAAAGAATCTGTTACAAAACACTTCTTTTCCCTTTTTACTGGTGTTTTGGAACTGTAATATCATGTACTGAAGCTTTGTCAGTAGAGGAGTCAGACTTCTCCAAAGGATATTCCCAAGAGACTTGATACCTGTTGCAATTATAATTACTGTGTTAATCAAACCTCTGGCTTCCAGGGTCAAAGAAAAATAATTCCTCTTTGGTCTAGTACGATATGCTCTGTTTTGTTCGGATCTGTTCTCCGCTGGAGCACTTTCCTGAAGCAATTCTTCTTCAGCCTCTCCTTGCAAAGCAGGGCACTGAAGTGCTGTTTTCATGGTGAAGTATATAGCAGGGGGGGTTGGACTAGGTGGTTTCCAGAGCTCAGCCTCTATTACTCTATTAGATTTCTTAATTTTAACCCAACTGTAACTTATCTTGGTTTTGTGGATCTGTAGGCTCCATCTGATTTTTGTACTGTGTTCAGGCTTTAAAAGAGCGAGAAAAGTGACAGTAGAACACTCGGGATTTATTGGCTGCATTCAACTTTCTCTAAAATTATGTACCATAAAAATTGTTAGCTTTTACCTTACCCATAAGTATACTGCATTGCCAGCTACTGAGAAGCTGCCAATCAAAACATAAAGGATACAGTGTTGTACAGATCTACTGCACCTCCCTTACCTCTGTGTTTTTCCTAACTCCCATAGATTCTCAGGTATATTGCGGGTACACCGCTCACTCTGGCCCCTGCAGGCAGCTCGTGCTGCATTGGGTTAGCAGCCTCAGTGCACCAAGACAAGGGGAGGGCAGCTGGCAAGGCACGCCATTCCTGTAGCTAGTGCAAGAGTTGATGCTCATTTCGGGTACCTCACCCAGATCTCCCAGGAGGCTGCTGCCTCCCAGGGCTGGAAATAGCTATCTAGAAGTCTAACAGAGATGGCAGGGTGCTGCAGGCAAGCTTCTGCCACAGAGGAAAACCCCTCCAGGAGAGGTTTCCAATGCAAAAAAATCAGGCTGCAGTTTCCTGGCTTCTGGACAGTCAAAGGTATGTGTGTTACCTCTAACAATCTGAAGTGATACTCTGCATATGTAGCTGGACTTATATATGTACATATATATAAATCTCACAATGAGGCATAATTAATGTAACAGGTGCATTCATTTGAGGTAAATTAACTTTAGACCATCAATTCTCTTTCAAGGCACATGATTTGTAATTATTGCTCTAAACCATAACAGTGAGAGAAATGAAACTTGGGCCACCTTCAGGACTTTGCTAGCCTTGATGGTCAGACTAGTAGGCTAACCGCAAGAGAAGAGTTCCTGGAGGATGTTCTTCTTCAATATCTATATAAGGAAGATGTGTACTAGTGTATGTGCTGGGAAATTTCAAGGCCCAGCTATGAAAATTAAGTGGTAGTAATCAGCTGTATCCTGAAGACACCTGTCTGTGCTGCATCTTAGGTAAGTAGCACTGGTTCTTTATGTCTGTTGCTATTTGTAGCTGTGCAGAAGAGTTAAGTATTAGCAAATATTGTTCACATTTCTAGGAATTCTGGTCTTCAGAAAAGTTTTGTTTTTCTCTAGAACAGAAAATTCATGTTCACCATAAAAGCATTCCTTGCTAGAGGAAAGAATGAATGTACTTATTAAAGTATCAGTTTACCTATATGAAAGCTTGTGATTTGAAAAGAATGCTGAGGGTTGTTTTGTTCTTTTTGCTGCTCTCCACATCACTGACCCACTGGCTAAGACACTAATTCAAAGGTTCTCAAACTGTTTTGTAAAATCCTTGATGCTGTTCTGCAGAGAGCAGACAGCTTGTTTGATAACAGCTGCCTCCTCTTCGGCTCAGGCAAGCAGCGGTAATTTAAAGAAGACATCTGAAATTTTATTCCTTCTGTTGCCTCTCCCTGTAAGCAGTTGGTTTTGCTGCTGTAGGGAAGCTGTATGGCCAGAAAAACACCTT